CTTCAGCCCCCTATTCCCCCCAGTGACGCCGTGCCTGTCATGAAAATAATTTACAACTTAAATTAATTTATATGGAGTCAACCTTGCCCTCATAAACATATGCATTAATCATTGCATCCATTGGCTATGACTTTCGGTAAGACATGCTTTCGCTTTGCAAATAACGGAGCTTTTCCTTACATACCTGTTCCGTTCTCTAAAATGCAATATCAGGAAGGTAGGTTCATAACAAATATGATATTTCCATTTCAAAATTCCTAAACGGCCCTTTACGAACTTCAGAGGTGACATTTCTGCGTGGCAACAAAGCTCTTCTTGGCGCCCTGCGAAATCTTCAATTGCCCTGCGAAATCGACTATTTTTTAGATTGGGGGGGTGTCCCCCCCCCCCCCCCCACACCCCCTCGGTATTTTCGCCCCTGCGTCTGCCTGCAACAGATTTGGGTAATTTGCCACCCCTACCCCATAGGCCTGACTATGGGCTTGGGTTAGATCCTGGTCTTTCACCTCGGGATGTGCAAAGGAAAGACTTCAGAGAGTATTAAGGATTGCAATTTCTTTGACCTCGCCCAATCTGTTCAACACACACCCATTTTATAAAATGTGCAATGATAATTTCTTGAAAAAAAACATGCCGGTCATCCAGCTGCCACACTTTCCATATTAGGAGTACAATATTCCCCATTTGTGTTAAATCATAATGCAAATTCATTGAAATCGTCCATTCAGAAAATTGATAAAAGTAGTAGAATTTTCAAGGAAGTTCAAAGAAACGAAGATTTTTAGCCATGTTTGGGCGCTCTTTCGGGGAATATTCAAACTTGGCGGCAAATGGAGGTTGTCTCTTTGTTGGCAAATGAGGACTGGGCCAAAAAGCTAGCAATCGCACTGCTTACACCCTATTAAGGCCTATTAAATTAAGAACAAATTAAGAACAATCCAGCCTCAGATTTTTGAAAAAATTAAGCCTGAACTTAAATTTACTGGTTCTTATAAGCGTAAAAGCGGCACAGTCTATGAATATAGATCCTATGAATATAATTAGAAAGGTATTGTTAAACGTAACGAACATTGTAAATTTTTTATATTTGAATAAAAAAAATAAAAAAATAAAGATCCTTGCAAACTCCGAGGTACCTTTCATTTACCGACCGATATATCCAATGGATACACACTTTTTCATACGGATGAGTAAATTGAAGTTCAAGCTGGCTGCTCTCAGTATTTCGAAAATTTGAGGCTGGATTGTTCTTAGTTTTATCTTAAATAATAAGGGTGTAAGCAGTGCAATTACTAGCTAGTGTGCTCTAGGGGGGAGGGGGTTGTTCGGGCTTTTTTTGCCAACAAGGTGAGTGAGCAACTCTTCATTTGCCAACAAGTTTGAAAAAACCCCGAAAAGCCCATCTAGGTGAAAAAACTTCTCGTTTTTTGGGATAAAATTTCCTAAGCAAGTTGTTCAAAATTGAATTTTACAGTAGTTCAGTCTTACCTTGTCAGGGCCTAAGATAAGCGTGGATCTGACTCACTTTGTGGAATTGTAAATTGATATTGTGGATCTTTTATTGCAGAAAATGTGGATTGGTAAAAAGTGCATATTTTCAAAAGTGCAGCATATAATACCAATCTAAACGCTTAGAATTAAAGCATAAGAATTAAAAACAAGAGCGAATGCCCAATCCCAGCCTTATGTAATGCACTCTCTTTTATTAGAAATTTGCTTTATAAGAAATGAGTAATGGACAATAAGAAAGGGCTAAGAAACTTCAGAAATGGAAGCCTCAGAACATGCGGAGGAAAATCAATTGTCCTTAATGAGATTGTCACGCTATTTTGAAGTAAGATAGATACAAGATATCAAATTCAATTAGTGTGCATTTATGATTTACTTATGTGTGCATTTTGAAAGAATGGTCTATTGCATTTGGAGCTTACTTTTTTAATTCAACTTGAAGGCATTGGGCCTAAATACAAAAGTTTTTTGGAAATCTCCGAGACTATGATTTCCTGCCCATCACATCTTTTAAAGTTTATGTGACATCTTTGTTCAGTAGATTTCAGAAAAAGTTACAAGGCGGTTTAGATAAAGTTTTCGGTATTGGAGAAGCATAGCGAAAGGTGGTAGCTGGGAGGAACATTTAGCTGGGGAAATATAACATATCAGGAGCTCTACCTCCCCCCCTCCCTAACTCACTTGTTTGCAATAACAGGTTAGAAATTTGCAATAATAAAAGATTTATGCTAACGCAACCCATTGTTCATTTTTTAATATTTCATCTTGTTCCATGATATGCTGGATTTCTAAGCCGGATATTTTTAAAAAGAAATATATTCTTTACTGAATTGTAATGTTGATAAGGACGGAAAGTAGCATACATGTTCTGAAAGGGGCGTTTTACAGCATTCTAAAGGCCGCAACTCATCAGCAAGCCCCCAGCCTTCAGTAGAGGCCCCCTACTTTTAGACTAGAACACGTTACAAACTAGATGGGATAAAGATCTATTTTCAAACTACGCGAAAAAAGCAGAAGTAGAAACTACCCCAATTTGTACATCAGCGAGAGAAGACATCATTTTCCATCCGTTACCAGGCTCTAGTTAGTATAAAAACTTTTTAAAGCAAAGTTTTGATGACAATAAAAATGCTGGGTTGAATGCAATAAGAACTTGCCATCAGCAAAAAGAGACTTCAGCTTTTGAACCGGGTAAAAAACTTGGCTGATTTAGCATGATTGAATTATTTATGCTTGATCACGCAAGGTTCAGATTCCGTTCAGCTACAGAGATATGGCTCCAAAAACCTTAATCATTCTGCTCAAAAATCTGATAATTAGGATTGTTTTATAGGGGTTTTGAAGGTGCAAAGAAGGAAAAAACAACTTTGATGGAGATCCAAAAAATGGTTTTAAAAAGGTTTCTTTTCGATACCTTTTTGCTGACAAATTAGGACATAGCTAATTTTTTTCACACAATCCAGTTGTTGTAAAAAAATCGGCTTTTGTTACTAATACTTCAGGTTTAGGATCATGGCTAGACCAATCAATTAGGATATGTTATTGGTACTAAGTTGGCCGTATCTGTTTTGCCACGCCCATCATTTCATTCCCAACCAAATACAACGCCCAATTTTTATAAAAATACGTGAATTTGTAAAAAAAATTCTTATTTTAGGCACTGTACCTTGTTCTTTATGGTTCTCAACCCTTGACCACCAGCCCCCCCCCTTTCCTCCTAACCGAAATTTCCTGTCAAATTCTTTCTTCTGTAAGAAAATCGTTACTAAATTTAGCATTATTTAATTTATAGGTTTGCATGAACATTTTCAAAGTGATTCCTTATTTTATAATGCATCTCATACCGTGCTATTATTATTGAAATGTACTTGAAACAAAAGTAGCAATATAGTCAGCAAAAAGCAATCAATCAAAGCGATTGTCTGGTTTTGGGGCAAAAAAAGAAGAAGAAGAAGAGGCCTTAAAACTCAATGCATGCCAATTCTTCCGTTTACGAACCAGCACGTTTACCTTTTTTATGTGAATTTTACCTACAGGAAAATGATCTGTGTAGAAAGAGAACTGAAACGTTTTTTAAAGCATAGTTTATGAAAACCTCAGCACCACAAAATAACCCACATAGGACAGTCTGTATTACCTTACAAATTCTGTCATAATTGTCCGTTTTACAATAATGTCTTTATCTATCTGCAAGTTCCTTTAGGCGAAAGGCCATTACGTCGCCGCAAAATTCAGGACAACTGCTTGTTCGGTCTTCAAGTCGATGTTTAAATTTAAAATTAGGCTTTCTATGAAATTTCTTGCTGGTCTCAGAAAAGCTATTGTATGATAAATCAAAGCATAACTTTTGTCTCCTAAGTCAAATTTCTAGGCCTTAAATAAAGTATGAGAGATTTCGTTCTTGCTGTGTTTGAAAAGACATGGTAGATTTATCACAAAAAGTGCTGATAAAACCTATGTCACAGTAGCACCATATATCTATTTAATTTGGTACTCTCATGATAAGAGTGAAGCCGAAGTCAAATTCCGTCATCGCTAGACCCTACTTGTTGTTCCTTGCTAGAATGGCATCGCAGCCACTATTACCGGGGAAATAAAGCAAAGTTTTTGAAGTAAAAGAGAGTGTGAACTTTCATGGTACTGAATTTAACTGGCTTTAGTTTATGTTTGTTGAATTGTTCACAAGAAAGTTTGGGAAATGTAATGACAAGGCCTTGAAAAAGGCTTGCAAGTTTTACGTAGAAAAAATCTTGTTCCAGAATATGTCATTTTTCAAACGAATCCCATCAAAATGCTCTTGCTTCCTACAGGACCATGAGAGGGAACTCCACAAGGAAAAATAGACCCAACAATGCATGCCAGCAGCTTGAGAAGACAAAGAGTCATGATGATTTTTCAAAATCTGCTTAACCAAAGAGATACTAAAAAGACAAGACACTGCAAGGTATGTTTTCCTAAAGCTTTCATAATACAGTAGAATCAAGCAACTATTCAAGCAACATCACCCAAGGGCTAAAAAAGTGATGCATTTAAAACTGATGAAGTGAATGGCATCGTTGTTGCATTGGCACTCAAAGTTGGTGCAAATGTGGTCGGTATAACAGGGCCACACTGCACCTTGTTAACAGCACTTGAAGCCCAGTCAGGATAGCTAGTCAAGTCGAAGAATGCTTTACCATACGTATTTATGGATAAGTTCACGATTATTATACCAATAATATTCATCCCAAAACCAGCTTTCATCTGGAATGAAAAAAAAATTATTTACTTGAATTATTTATCAAAGCTTTCTAGGCAGATTTTATTTTAAAGTTTATTTGGCTGTCTCTTTCTTGCTGCCAAAATGACTAACAGTACTGCGATTGATCAGCTATAATAATACTGAGAAAAGTTACAGAGTTGACTTCAGTCTAACTTAGAAGTACGCATACAATCTGATGAACAGTTTCAAAACAAAGAAATTGTTTTATTCTAACGTTGAATGCTTCAAGCCATCAAATGAAGGGTGGTAAAAAACATTTCTCTCTCGCCTCCTCTTCGCATCGAGATGCACTGTGTAAGCACAGGTTAATTTACTAATCAATAAAGAAGACTGGATCGAGCTTCTATTGTGGCAAGAGTGTTGCCATCCGAGAAGAAAGCCCCAGAACAGCCCATGCGAAGAGACGGCCTTCACTGGCACTCCTAGCAATGTTTTCAGCTGCTCTGGCTTTTTATTTTTCAGCAATCATACACACAGCATTGCAGCTCTCGCGTAGCCATATCGTTTAAGTATTGGTTTTGCGGAATGGCTCCCCGCTATTGTCTGGGGCCCTCTTACTTTTGAAATTTAACGGGTTTTGAATTTTGGTGTTTCAAGACAATAGGAAGCTCGATCCAGTCTTTTTTATAGATCAGTGGGTTAATTCAATCTACTTGAAAATAGGAACTGATTGGCTGTCTCTTTCCGCTGAGCTAACACAGTGACCTTGATGCTACGAGGAGTCTCAAAGAACTTAAATCAGAGCTCGCCGAGGCTCTTATGCATTTATGGCTCCAATATTTATTTATTCCTTCCTTTTTGAAAATCATATACCATACCATATCAAATATCGTGATTCTTCCCGTTGAAAACACAATGGCATTTGAAGGTCCAGCGATTGGAAGCATAAATGCAAACGATGCACACACTGCTGCAGGAACCATGAGATAGTATGGATGGACCTTGATGCTTTGCGCCTACATATGGAAAATGAGTTATGAAAACATATTTGTCTAAAATACTGATCCAAATAGTAGGAAAACAGGAGTTGGGAAAATATACAGACAGAAATGGAGCGAGTGACCTCGCGAGAGCTCAAACCCACGACCAGCGACACACCCCGTCGTTCCTCTTCCAACTGAGCTGATCGGTGGCTTTTTTAAAATCCAATACCAGGAGCGTGCTCTTTTTATAAAGTTTGCAAGAGAGCCTTCGCAGAAACCATCGCAGAAACCACCACAGCATCAAATGCAATGCACATCTGACCTGCTGATCATGCGCAGCAAAAATTCTTTTGAAAGGCGTGGCAAGGCAAATTTAGATTGCAGCTTGGTGCTCACTGTAATTTTATGAAATTATTTTCTTCATACTGCAAGCCTTTTCATAGAATTGTTGGCTTACTTATGCAACATTAGAGCATTACGAGTAGGAATTACGACTGTACCCACCAATGAAGCAAGTACTGGTAAAAGGATGGTTGCTGTTGCAGTGTTTGATGTGAATTCAGTGAGAAACGTCAGCAAGATCGATATGACCAGAACAATAACAAAATTTGGGACTGAGCTTAGTGCTGCTAATTGACAACCAAGCCACATTGAAAGGCCAGATTCCTGTGGAGAGATTGATAAAAGCATAAGTTTTTGCCCGGTATCAATTTGGTGTAAAAACTGACAACTGCTAAGCTGTTCTCTTGCAAGACTATAAAGGATAAAGCTTTACTGACAAGTTGAAATTATTTATTCTGAAATCTTCTTCATTAATTTTGTACATATTTCATTCTTGCACACTGCTCTTATCTCCACAGGAGCGTTCTCTGACTTTGCCTATTTTAATTATTTCGTAAGTTGTCATATAGCTTTTGTTATATAGGAATAAAGTCTATAAGAATATTTAGGCTCAAAATCGCTTAAATTTAAGAATAATTTAAGAACAATGGAAGTCTCAAGCTTTATCAAGAATCAAATGCTTTGCTTATTTCAGTTTTTCTGAAAACAAAAAAAGCGAGTTTCGCGCGATATGTCTTAAAGTAGAGAAATCCGGCCTTGAAGTAATTAAAACTATAATGCAATCCGGTTATACCTTATGTTGCTTACGCATAATGTAAAAATAATCTTAGGTTCAAAATCTTACAAAATTTTAGAATATTTAGTCTCAGCAAAAATTAGGTATTCTTGTAAAAACGTGTGTATCAAAATAAAATATGCATAACAGCAGGGGTGTTTTGTTATAATATCAAGGGCTCTGGGCATCTCCCTCTTGCTCATGTCAAAATTGACAAATGCCTATCTTGTGATATTGCTGTGATATATTCTAGTGACTCAGGAACTCTAATGAGCAGTCTGGCCCGGCCATGGGGGAGGGGGTCCTTTGCTAGATTTTGGGTAGGGGTTTTCCGCGAGCATATTCAAAGTGGTACCGTTGGCTAGACTAATATTCACAAAATTGGCACTCTTCTTGGCTAGACACATATTAAAGTCATTCAAGTTAGCAGATATCTCAAAATTGTTGGTTTAAACTCTGAAATGTCAAAGGTTGATTTGTTTCATTTAATAGTTTATTTTCAACAAAAGCGTATCTAGAAGAGCCCGATTAAACTGTTTCTAAATACCAAACAAAATGTAAGACACTGACCTCACAAGCTTTTGCTATTGCAAAACCAGATCCTAGCAGCAGTGTCACATTCCAAGGAAATTTGTACTGTGCAAATTTCCATTCTAGTAGTGTCGTGTGTGGCTCTTTGAAAAACAAAAACATTTGTTAAGTTTTGTGATGGAACAAACAATAGCAACATTAATAACACTGCTCGATCGTCGATTTCAATATTTTTCTGGGTTTATTTCATATATATTTGCACACAAACCAAATTTAACTTTCCACTCAAAGTTGTCAGTCCTTGACAAGAGGTCAAGAGAGCTCGATTCAGACCAGATACAGTGTAAAGATCTTCATTTAATGACCTTTTTGCGAACAGACCGGGTTCCTTTCCCGCTTTCAAAGGAAACCATCCCTATAGGAACTATTTTTTTTCTGATTGGCCTATTTCGATCCACAACTGGGTATATATTTTCCATCGTGTTCTTTCGGAACCTTATTCTGACGTTTTATGCTCTGAGGAGTGTCAGACGAAAAAGCTTTTAGTATGTCGTAAAATGTTTGCTTTTTTCAAAGCCATTTACAAAGGCTACAGTGACTTCATTGCATTCGGTTAAAGACTGAATACAACCCCCACCCCCTCTTGTACTAGATATCTATTAGAGAAACTGCTATTTAACAACACCGTTATGCTAACCTAAGCTAATGCTTCACCTAGACCTTGATATTTTGTGTCAGATTTTATACTGAGCTCATTTTTCTTTGGTTTCCATTGTTGGGGATGTTATTCGTTTTTACGTATTAAGTATTTACCTATTTTTGAAGTTATGAATGTTTCTTTGATATTTTTTCATGAAAAACTGTACATCAGATTCAATCAAATTTAATTTTTTGCATATCGTTAATTCTGTATTTGAATTCAAAATTTGGAAGAGTTGATGCTGTTAAATTTTCATTCTTCTTTTCCATCATACCAATTTGGAATAGCTTGCCTGATAACATAGTTAATCAGTGTAACTCAGAATCCTTTCACAGTCTATGTAGAAATCATTTCAGCAAACGATAGATGCGTAGACATTTGTATCGACCCGCAATGGGTTGTTAAATGTAATTTTGATGATGATGATGATGATGATGTATTAAGCCCGAGAGTGGCATTATTAGACATTATCATGGGGGGGGAGGAGGGGGCACAATAGAGAGGAAGAGTAACTTAACAACGCATTGACTTTTCAAAAGCGTCTCTAAATTGTTCACTCACTCCTTCTGCGTGGCCCTCCTAATATCTCCGGTCTTTCAGATGGGAAAACAAACATGGAAAAACTAATTATGACACCAGCTGTTGAATCACTGACGTAGCTCTTTTTGCTGAAAAAAATTAAAGCATGATAGGTTAGCAACTTTTAAAATCAGATAACACGAGCAGGAATATTTCTGAAAGTACATGTAATTCTAAAATCAGATTGGTTTCCTGGTTTCTTATGGATTTGTTTTAACACTGTCGATACACGAGCTGCTCTCACATAAGCTTTCTACATTTTTAACTGTTAGTCTTGTAATCATCCGTCATCCGGTCACTAGCAGAGAATTAAGCCTTGCTCCTACAAGCAAAGACAATAATGTCAATGTTAGCATTAACGATGGGCATGCCTTAAGTCACTTTCTTATCTTTGTTGAAAAAGAGGTCAAGGGGACTTTTATGAAATTTGAAACAGGGTGTTTTATAAAAGTTGAAACCAAAGAAAATATTTTTTGTTGTGCAAACCTTGAAATGACCACAAAAGGACTTCATGAGATTCATTGAAAATAAAACCCAATATTGATTACAATACAGGAATCTATAACTTTTTTAATGACAAAATAGATTTTAAACTTTTAATCAATGCTAAAAATGCATTGGGCTTAATAAATAGACAATTGTTAAGGAAACTACGTTGATAGCGCAACCTAGCAGGTTTTGCAGATTTACAATGTCTTACCCCAGAGGAAACAACGCACCCCATCCAGGAATGAATTTAGGGTCTCTAAGAATCCAGCTTAATACCAGAGCAAGGAAATGGCCAAACACGGCGTACTCAGCGAACCTGGAGAATAAAAACAGAGAGTAAATAGAGTGACACGAGAAAGGTATACTATCTAAAATTAGATTAACAGTAGATGCATCTCATGAAAGGCTGAAGGTAAAAACATTTTACGATTTCACATTTTACGAAAGAGTGCAAATATATCACGGAAGAAAAACTTTGAACGCCCATCATGTTAAAAACCATTCTCTATGAGAGTGATTAAAATTTTGAAAACGATCAGACAAAGTACTTTAATGTTTTTTTAAGCTGGAAATATGTTCCAAGTCTTCTGACAGAATTAAAACAGATATCCGAGGAAGGCAGTCAGGTTTCAAATCGGCAAGACACGAAATAACATAAGCTGCCATTTCCAAGCTCTTGAATGGAACTATTAATTTTCGCCCTGCATTGTAAGATTTCTTTCAACGGTCTTTTGAAGTTGTTGGTTTGTTGGCTGGTTTAAATGATGTGATACGTTGGTTGGTTTGAATCCCTACCAGGCCACTTCAAGATATTTAAACAGAGAGCTATATTTAAACACTAGGTCTTTCAGATTTGTTACTATAAATTCGCTTGCTGCGAATGACGTGATTGGAGACATAATCTAACTAGTGCCAATAGCTGCTAGAACCACCTGGTAGCCTAAGTCTTACGTGATTGGTCCAAGCTCTGCGTATTGTTGCTTCATCAAAGCATATACTTCTTTTCCTTTAGTCTTATTTCGCTTTTTTCCTCGAAAACAGCAACATAGATGCTTCCAACTAAAATGAAAAAAATAAAAAGCTTCAATAATTTTTATTTACATTTCAGCCACTGCAAACATTTGTTTCTCCTTTAACCAAAAACAATTTCTGCGCGATCACCATTTCAGCAAAGTCATTCTTGAAATGATGACTCGACAATACTGTCAAACCACATAACATTCAAACACAGCTAGTTTTTTTAAATCATGTGTTTAAAGAACAGGAATAATTTTTCCGCTTGTAACAGACATGAAAAATTTTGCACTCTATTGACAAATTCTTAATTAGAGAACAACTAATCAACGACATTAAGAAATATGTAAAATAGATAATACATTGTTTGCAATTTTCAAGTAACACTACTCCAGTATGTCTTGCATGATCATTTTGTGGCGTGGTTTTGTAAATAATTGCCGGTATTCTGCTGATGCATGTCTTTAAGAAACTTGAAATAGAACTATAAACTATAAGTAATATTATTTCAGCGAAGAAAATCGATAGTGCATCCAAACCACTTTCTTAAAAAAACAGTTCCAAGTATTTCACTAATGGGGAGTTGAAAATGTCAGGGCATTAGCTAAAATGTCGTCAAAATGATCAAAAAAGCATCGTAAAAGATTGTTAGATAATTTAGAAAGATGAAAATGCCTACCTGATCCCAAAGAACATTGCTTGCAGGTAGATCCATGCAATAATGAGGAAAATTACCATTTCAGGAAACGCGTATGTGCCCCATGAAAGAAATGACATTCCTGGTGAATCCTTGAAAACACTGAAAAGGTATGATGTTTCGCAAAATTGTTTGTATAGATCATTATTGTAGAATAACATAACCATTAAGGCATTTTCGAATGATACTGTATTTCAAATGAAAACTATAGATACCCTTAATTCTTAACATTTTAAGCCATTTTTAAGCTTTTTCACAAAAACTAGGGCTACACGCAGTACATACCCTGGCACTAGAAACAAACGCGCATAGTAGGGCAAGGAAAAAATTTAACTATTTGAAGATACTCAATCAAACTTTAATAGATCACCAAATGTTCTTTAATAGTTCGAGATCACCAAGTGTAACCTTATTCCTAAATACTTAAGTTTGACATTTGATTCCTCTGTGGTCATCTAGAAATATAGCTAAACCTACTCAGTAAGTTGTCCTGCCAGAATCTGTTGCGGTGTGGTGCCAGTCAGAGACCCTGTTCCACCAATATTGGCAGCATAACAAATGCATAGTGTCATGGCAACGCACAATGTCTTGTGTTGTTTTACTCGTCGCTCCTCCTATCGAATGAAGCAAATGAAGCAATGGTATTAATTCTGGGTCGAGGGAAGCACTTGACGAATGGAGGTGCATGACCGTAAAATGCATTGATTTAATCTAAAATTGATCTGAAATACCTACATCTTCTTGGGAGCTTTCTTGTATCACAATGCGTACGTCATCGCTTGCTCTAAAAATGATATTGTATTGCTTCGTATTATTTCAATTGCATTCCCCTTTACAGGCAACAGTATTACATTGCAGACTTTTCATTTCAACTTCCATTCACTGGCATCTTAAAATATCCAATAATTAGAATTTTATTCCAAAAAATATTTTCGTAATTTTATTTTACTCACCCATCAATGTCACCTGAATCTTGTCGATAGGTCTTAAATGGTGATGCCATCTCAATCATTTCTTCCTCTCCACGTTCAGCTTCTAAATGAGTTTCTTCGGTCGCATCAGATGGGCTTGTTCTGGTTTCATCTCCAGTTTTTGGAGGTTCATTGCTTGTGATTACTGCTAGATTATCAAGATTGCTAGACTTATTTTGGGTTTCGAGCTCTTCGTCCAGTTTCTTGAGAACAGCTTCCATAATTGGGGTCATCATAGCAGTGGTTGCAGTGTTTGTGATCCACATCGAAATAAAAGCAGTAACGATCATGAACCCTAACATCAATCTTTGGAAGAAATGGAGTTGCTTTGAGTTCGATCTCGCGAACAATGCAAGGATTGAGAAACTATTCATTAATCTTTCCTTGGCATTTCTTCCTATCTAAGCATAGAAAGTGGTTTAGCTATTGGTCAATTTGAAAGCAATAATAAAAAAGATTTAATAGAAATCAAGCTGATCTTGTAAATAGTTGATACAAACAAACACTTTGTAGGTAGGGCAAATAGGAAAGACAAGTCTACAACAACAAGTCTAAATCAAGTCTTTTCGACATGGTTTCGATAAAGTTTGTTTACCGAATAAAACAGAGAAGAAACCCCTTGTTCATAAAATGTAATGCATAAAGGAGACACTGTAGAGAAAGTAAGAAATTATTCCTTTTTTAACTTAGCAACTAGAACTAGTTATGGCTTTATATTCGATAAATATAAGTCACTAAGGAGCAAACTTTGTCTTCAACAAATTGAATAACCTTGTTCTCTATTAAGCATTCATACCTTCTTGGTGAGGTTCCTATCAGTAAGAGGACTTTCAATGATATTCTTTTATGCAGGTTCCATCTCTCGATCGCAACTGCCATCATCAAGCCTCCCAATACCAGAATGTTTGTATCCTTAAAGTACGGAGGAGCTATGTCCTTCGCAGGCAACACTCGAAGAACAGGGAAGAGAAACAGGGGCAGCAAGGCAGTTACTGTAAGGTTAGTAACTTCAGTGCACCAGTATATGCCCATTATAAGAATTGCATATGCAGTCCTTGCTTCCTGGAAACAAAAAGCAAAACTAGGAACTAAACAAAAACAGAAAGCAGTAACATGGACCTTCATAATATGACTATTCTATTCTACTAGGAAGTCATTTAACTCGCAGTTGGAAGGAAAATGTTTATAGCGTGATCCAACCCTGGGATTCTTCGATAATGGTTTAAAAGCATTTTGAAAGGTTTACTTCTTAAAATTAAATTGATGGCGTCCGGGATATGCCTGATGGTAGGTTATGCAACCAGATGAAGATAAATTTAATTGGAAAAGTGAACTATTTGATTGTCAAAATACATTCCAATCTTTGAAGGAAAAAAGAACTGCGATAACACAAGCAGGGCATTTAGGTTCTCCATATCAAAGTGTCTTCAAATGATTGCATCCAAAAAACGACCCTAAAGCAAATGAGCACACTTTGCTAATTATAAGTAAGATTTTTAGTAAGGTTACGCAAAGGGGTTGAAAGTTTTCGCTTTATTTCGATCACTTTCTTTTTCTGACCAACTCCAAATCATTTGAGCCCTGCTGCCCGCGATAACCCGGGTACGCTTACCGAGTTCAAGGGTCACCAATGATGAGCGGCGATTTAATTTCACCCTTGAAATATCTCTTCATAAAACGCAGTGTTCCATGACTTTGCGCAAATTGAGAACGATGTGTGTCTCAAAGGCCATCATTACCTTTCACTCTTGTAAAGATGTAATAACGTAAAAAATTTTAATTATTAAATGATTTCCACGGAGGTCGGTCTATGTAGGAATTCCTCACAAAACGATGGAAAGTGGGCGTGGCTTTGGTTGTGTCATAGGAGCTTCTATTGTTTCTCGTGGACCTTCCTCGATCAGTGGCCGTGCTATCGTTATGTTTTCCTGACTCTGCTCACCTCCCAAATTTTTCTTAGCCCACCCCTCCAAGCTTCAATTTTGTGACGCAGTCTCCTCTGGTTGCGCTGAAAAAGCCATATCAGCCAAACATTTTTCAAAATGCATGTACATTTGGGCAAGGCAAACCCCCCTCCAATTGTGTTGCTCGTACTTCTATGAATTTGCATTGTTATTCCGGCCATCAAATACATTTGTTTGTATTGATTTTGCAAACAATGCAGTCTTCTTCAAGATTGTTTGTAGCTTGCCTATTGTGAAAACCTTGAAAAGAAGTCGAAATCACAGCGAGAGCCTTCTTATCTTTTTTTACAATAAGGCTTGTAGGCTGAAATGGCCCATCGCCAACACAATTACCATACTTACAAGTCAACATAGTTACAAATTAACAATAAATATGACTCCAAAGAATGCAACAATATAGAAACATGTGTTCCTAGGTTTTCCAGATTCAAAGCCAGTTTTGGTTTTGCAAACACGTGCTGCATATAGAGTCATACCTACCTTTGTTGTCACTATTAACGGTAGCGGACTCAAAACGAGTGGTGTCAAGAATATTATGAGGAGTGTTCGCCATTCTCGCAGTCTCTTCAAACTTCTGCAGCTAATCGAAGTCATTTTCTTGCTTTATTTCTTCTCAAACACATTCATGAGTGGCCTTGATTGCTGCGACTTGCTTGCGCACCAGCACCACTTTGTTTCACGTTGTGTTACCGAACGTTGTTGATTCCAGCTGAGCCACACCGAGAAAAACAGCGACACCAACTCTCAATAATCAGCACTGTATAATCATGTTTGCGCTTGAGACCGGGGGAACAATATAAAGGACAATTGAATGAAACGATCAAAAGTAATATGTTAAAACAATAGATTTGACGCAATTAAAGAATGTAAACTTGGCAGGCAGTAGCGCAGATAGAGGGGTGTCATATAAGGCGAAGACCCCTCTGTAAAGCCAAGGCCGCCAATAGGAGGGCAAGGAGGGCAAAGTGCCCCAGGGCCTCGAGGTCCAAGGGGCCTCATAAAGTAACGAAATCCATTTTGGGAATGGAATTGATCGAACGTTGCAAAAGTATGACTTAAATGGTATAAATGTTTTGAACGATTGCAAGAAAATGACTTAGGGATTATCCTGTAATGCAAACATTTTCTGCTCGCACCACCCGCAGGGTGCCTCACCTTTCTTTCGGTTTTGCTTCAGGGCCTCTGAAACCTCTCGGTAGCTCTGTGTAAAGCCATAACTTCCAATCTTTTTGGAAATATAACAGTACAGGGCCGGCGAAACGTATTTGAAAGTGGAGGGGCCAAAATATCAAAGTCTTGAAAGGGCTTAGGAAAGGCCGCCACCATGGTTGGTGGCAAGAAAAATGTCAGAATAATGGTGTCTTAGGGATGGCCAGAAATTGTATCTAAAATCAATTGTGACTGAAGGCGTCACATAGTCGCGTCTATTGTGATGTTGCTTGAGACAAAAAAGTTTTGCAAAGTTTTAGAATAACCACTATCATATGGCTCGTAATGAACACTTTTGTTAGACTTTAAAAGCACACGAAATAAAACGGGAAAGAAAAATAAATGAAACACGGATTAATAAAAAACATTAACGTCGAAATATCAACAGAAGAGCTATCAACTAAAAATAAAAAGGTTAAGAAGTTTTGTACAGTAAAGATATAACTTTGTAAAATCTGATCTTAACTTTTTCGGAAATTAAGTGCTTAAACAAAAATTTGAAAAACCTTCAAACTGGGCTTGTCAAATGAGTTTAAATAGAATTTATAATTGCGTCGATATTTTCTCTTTCTTAGTAGGAATGGATTATAAAGACGATCAAACTCTGAAGTTTTCTTGATGATCCGCCCATACTTTATTTCTCAAATCCCCAGAAAGGTTCTTTCCAGCTGTTTCCTTTCCTTCAACAGCTGATTTCTATCTTTTTGTAATATTTCTGAGAAATTTAACATTCGTTAAAAAATAGACCTTGTGTGCCAAGTTTAGGCAATGGAAAAAACGAAACTTCGTCAATTTGTGCTGGCACCAAGTTATTCTGGACTAGGTTCCTCGATCTATTTGCTAAGCCAAGCTGTTACTCGTTATAAAACTTAGACAATGACCGATTTCTTCGATCTAATTCCCATATTCAATTTTATGTATGTCTTCTATGGTAAAGACATAGCAACCAAGGTAAAGCTAAGGACACATATAAGAGAATACTAGGCAAAGTTACTTTCAGAATCATATGCTACATTTATTTTCTCTTTTGCCTAAAATTGTTCTTTAGTTCTGCAGAAAAGTGGTGAACTTTATTCTTCGGCCCTGAGCTAGCAATCTTTTAAAGGCAATCTGTCACGACGTTGATTGATTATAAGAACAAAGGGATTTTTATTGTTTCCAGTCCCCCTTTAATTTATCGCATTGTAAAAAATATGGCGGAGCGCTGGAATCGTGTTTAGGCTATTGTTCCAGCTATTGTTCTCGTTAACCAATCAACAACGAGACAGATTGCCTTTAAGTCAGATATAGAACTTAAAAATGTCTTTTCGAATGGAGAAGACCAAAAAATTTCTAAGTAGTACGATTTGACACTCAACATGGAATAAATGTGTATCTTCCGTTACGTTCAAATTTGCGAACAAATATAAACGCTTATAACAATACTGTTAAATATAAACGATAAAAAATTAAAGTAAATGACCCGAGCCAAAGCCGATGCTAAATATAGCTCACAGCTCACTTCAATTCAGGCATGCGCTCATTCACTGCGTTGTGAAATCGAAACAGTGCAATTTTATTGGTTCATTATAATCGACGAAAAGAAACGAAAAGAAACGAAACGAAATAGAGCGAAATATAAAAAGTAAGGTAAAAACAACAAAGTGTGCAAAAATGCTCAAACAAAATCATAAATATTCACTTCCGATTAATTGTCTTTGGTCAGAAAGCAAACCTTCAGCGATGCACGGACTTCGGCCAAAAGAGGCTTCTTAAAGTCTAGTCGAAAGACATTGACCAGTCGTGGGAAATTTGAGCTTTCCAGTGGACGGGATGAATAATAACAGAAACTTCTTTAAACAAGGCTGGAATTTAACTCAATTTCCCAAGAAAATCCCCTTTGAAACGTACATACTTTCCCATTATAACAAATTTGAATGTTAAAAACCACAGATGGATTCGGCTTGTTACAATATTCTGGAAAAGATATTTGTGATTAAGATTTCTTCTCCATAAAATCTGAAGTATTTTAAAGATACATACAAAACCAGTAAGTCGAAGACTCAAAAAGCAGTACGGATCATCTCGACAAATGTATTATTATGGAGACAAATATTTCATGAGATAAATACCTAATGCTTTTAAAACCATATCTACCAGACACTTCTCATATCTGCCAAAACAGTAACAGCTATTTTATTATATAAATGGTTAATAACTTAATAACCATTGAGCGTATTTGTGTTATTCAAGCCAATAAGGTTTGTTTCCAAGTTAAAATTATTTGGAAATGCATACCATTTCTAACCGGGAAAATCTTCTTAAATTTAATTCAAAATGTCAAGACTGTGTGTCAAGGACCGCGGAGCATAGTACAGATTGAAGGATTGAATTACACATTTTGAAAATTATCGGGTTGGGGACTAAAGCCCCCTCAGCCCCCTCCCCCCCGGTTCCGCGGTCCCTGTGTGTGGGTATAAGATATTTCAAGGTATTGTGACATGAATTATTCTTACCTCCTTGCTGTAAAACCCTTCAGAAAATCACGCACAAAAGATGTCAAAGACAACCGCTTTGCAATATTCCTAGTTTCTAATGTCATAGTTTTTAAGGAAAAAATTGCCCAGTTCATCGTTAAATTAATCTTGCATTTCTAGTCCCATTCTCCTGTAGGATATGCCATTCTGAATGTTTTACCTCTCCTCAAAGTTCAAATAATTATGAAAGATTTTTCCACAATGATTTCTAAAGGAACTTACGAAATTAGATTAGAAGGACACACGTTAATCTATTTACAAGTAAACAGAACTTGACAGTATAGCTAAAAGACATTCTCATTAGTCTGTGTATGTGGCAAAGCAGTTCTTAAGAGTAATGATAAAAAGCATGGCTGGTATACTGTTTATGGATTTCAGGTTCAACGACTGCATTGAATACTGCTATGCAAGAGAAGTCGAAACGTTTTTCTATCTGGTTGCATTTGTTGCAGCAGTGGTTAAATTCTTTGCGATGGTTGTTAGGAGTGCACCAGCAGTAGTTGCAATAGAAGTAGACGCTGCACTGGCTACAGTGGGTGCTGCAGAAGTCATGGACGACAAGGTTGTAGATGCGTTTACAGCTAGCGTAGTCAGGTTCGTTGCTAGGGTAGTCGGTATGGAGAGTCCACAGCGCTTCCCATTAGCAGCTCCTTCAGCCCATGCGGGAAATTTGTCCAATCCAAAGTAGGCCATTCCAAAAGTATTTATTGAAAGGGTGACGACGAGAATCCCGATGAGATTCATTCCAAAACCAGCTTTCATCTGTAAGCATAGTGCAATCACTTTTTTGACTTACTTTGTAAAAATTATTAGCAATTACATTAATTCGAAAATATAATAACTTGAAATCAGATAGAGCTAAGGGATGCTCATTTTCTCGTTTTGAATGGCAATCTCCTGTATTCGTCATCTTAAGGGTTAGTGATTACAAGCGAGAAGCTTCTGGCACTTCTAAAGACTTTTGCATGCTTAGAAAATGGCAAACCTAAGAAGAAGTTCCACTTAAACTCTATCTACATCTTGCCCTACAATCCTTAGGGAGGAGATTTCTCACATTTGTACAAGAGTAAATTTTATTAGAATATTGAGACTAAATGGGTGACATTTAAGAAACAATTGAGAACAATAGCCAGCCTGGCATTTCATCGAAAAGTTTTTATCTAAGTAAGTTTTTTGAGCAAAAGCGTGACCGTCAGGGGAAAACGATTGAGGAATACTCATCAAGCTTGCATATGCTACAATTTATCATATCCTTGAATTTTTTCGTGATCAAGAAAGACAGTAACAAAAATTGAAACTTTTGTTCTTAAGAATGATTTTAGAATAATTATAGTCTCAAAATCACAAATTCTAAAAATCATTGAAGCTCAGTAAAAATAAAGATATTCATATGAAAATTGTGTACTATCGTTGTAGATGTGCCGCTACACTGAAATTTTATTATTAGAATTCCGAAACCAGTCTATGCAAAAGCGGAATAGTCTGCTACGGGCTACTGATGTTGACCAGAAAGACAATTTTCAATGAATTTTACACAATGTTATCTTGGACTAAGATAGAAAGATCATTGCTAAGTTTGGAGATTTCTTTCAAAACTGATACTCTAGGAATAAATAATAGGTTCCCTACCATGTCTGGGATGGTCAACCTCCCTGTAGCAAATACGATAGCATTAGGTGGTGTTGCTACTGGCAACATGAACGCAAACGAAGAGCAGATTGTCGCTGGAACCATCAAGTAAAATGGATGTACTCGTATACTTTGTGCCTGCAAAAAAAATTATTAAAAGTAAACTGCGATGATGCCAAGTAATCAACCGAAGAAGCACTGGATTACTCAGTTCGAAAGTAATAAGAAGCTGGTCTGTTCTTATTATTAGAACACCTGATTTGGAAAAACTTTATAAAACACTCTTTCTTTCTCTCTCTAGCGACTTCTGTCCTATGATTTGTCTAAGATGGCGTATCACTAACAGCTACCAAAAATCTTATAATATGTACTACATTACATTTACATTACATTTAGAACTGTTAATCATTTACTTTCATGTTTAAAGGACTACCATATCATTATGATTTACTTTATTTTTGCTTAAACAGCGAACCAATTATTACGATTAAAAAGAATGCCAGAGTTACATTCGCTGCGTGCTTAATGGGTTCCTTTTCGGATTTTTGGGTACCTCTCCGTAACAGACTTGCTGTGAAGCGGTAAGTTTGATGGAATCTAAAAATTATATGGAGTTTTTATAGATAGTCATGGATAATGGCCCAATATTTCCCGTCTAGATCTTATCATCATTTTGTGGTTGGCTGTTATTTCAAGCTTCATACATTTCATTTTATATTTCATTCACTGTTCGTCTTTTGGCTATGTTACTGCATCATTCCAAATTGTTGAGTCATCATCATTATCATAATTATCTATTAAGTACACTGTACCCTTAAGATGTCTCTACTAATACATCTTATTAAGTAGAGACATAAAATCAGTTTTATTTGGCATCCTTTGCTGAGCTTATCCTTTAGCGATGTTAATTCCTTTTTCAAATCTTAACCAACTTGTACGTGCATATTTTTTGATCAACTATGAAGAGTGTTAACATAACTACCTTCATAACAAATTAACAATAAATCTCAAACTACAGCAAGCGGTTATTGCCAGATAAGAAAATGTGAACATGATTATAAGCTATACAGTAAACGTTACATAGATATGCATATAGAAAACTACCCAAAAGATTCCCGTGATTCGAAAGCCATGGATATAAAATTAGCTATTAAAATCAGACAATTCCAATCTTCTAGACTCAACAACCAGATAAACTTATCACAAAGGTCAAGGGATGAGATTCTGGGAAATTGTGAATAAATCATAGATAAGATAGAATTCCTAGCAGACACGTAAAGGGGACAAACTAATAAGAGATGAATTTCGTCCTCCACAGCCGTTATGTTTACAGATTGACAATAGGGACATTTTCTGTCAGCCCTAGGAATAGGATTTTTCCCATATCCACCTGTTTCGATCCCGAACTTGTTTTGCAAAGGTAGTTCTTTTCTTTTTGCTAGGTACCGAGTCTAAGTAATTCTCAAACTCATAAACAGTTTTGAAAGATGCATATGTACAGAGCTTTTTATTGAGAATAATTTGCTCCTTTAGATTTTCCATAAATTTTGACCTAAACTGGGAAGACACTTTCGATTTCACGGTAGAATTTTTATCGGTTGCATGTATAAAGGGTCATCAAGGAAGGGGCAATACTGACCCAATTTTAAAACACCGGAATCAGCATCTGAAGCATTATAAGCATTTGAAGAGCTCTGTTCGCATATCTTGAAGAATCAAGATTAATCAAACAAATATAAAACTTTGAAATATTAATAGGTCTATGTTCGAGCAACGAACAACGACCCAGCTCCGCATAATCCCCAAGAGACATTGTAGAGCTTTTCACACCTAGGATTGACTTGCAAGCCATAAGATGAGATTTTTCAAGGCATTTTCAAGTGCCAGATCCCCATACTTCAGTGGCATAATTGGGGATAGGAAGTATAGTACTGTCAAATAAAAATAAGAAGAGTCTTGAGTTGAAACCATCCCATTCATTGCTTTTGGACGAGGGGAAAAGTTGGATTTTTGAGCTTTTTGCTTAATTATATCAACATGAGCACTGTAGGAACCATTAGATTTGAAAGTGACACCAAGGTATTTGTACTCATTGCATACTTTGATCTCTTTATCACCGAATTCCCAAGTTTTGCATACCTTGGACTTTTTCTTATTTTTCTGACAGCCATTACCTTAGTTTTGGAAGTATTTATCTCCATATTTGCAGACATGCAATATCGGTTTAGCACGTTTAGCTGGGATTGCAGACCTTCAACAGGATTAGCCAATAAAACCAGGTCATCAGCATATAGAAGGGAGCAGATATTTATGTTACCTAATCTTACACCGGTAGAAACATCATTGATCTTTTAGTCTAAGTCATTAAGAAACAAGGTGAACAGCAATGGACTCAACAAAAAACCTTGCCTTACACCACGATGGCATGAAGATAGATTAGTTAGGCTGTCTTGACCCATTACACAAGACACAACTTTCGTATACAGGTACTTAATCACATGTAACACTTTACCTTAAGACGTCATTTTATCAATGAGTCCACAGAATCAAAAGCTTTTTTAAAATCCACAAAGCATAAATAAAGAGTTTTCTTACTAGAGAATGTGTTCTCAATTATAGGATGAAGTGTAAAAATATGATCGGAGGTTCGATATGATTTTCTATATTCAATGTACTGGAGATGTTGATATTGACAGAAATTAGGGATGCTTGAGGTCTTTGTCATCATTCTTAGATGGTCATTGCTAAAGACCAATCCAGATCATTGCGATTTATTGTGTCTACCTTTGCTTGGATTTGGACATTTCTAGATTTGGATTTTTTGGATATCTTCCTAGGTGAAAGGCATTTAAAGATCCTAAAACCATAAAGTAGAGCCCTATGCCGTGATAATTTATCCCAGTCTGGCGATGGATAATATGTATGTCGATCTTTTGGTGAATAAGTATATGTCATCATAGCTATGATTCCTTGCATTTTTTTCTTCTTAAGTTACGAACACACATTCCAGAATTGTGAATGTCTACCATGAAAGATACCAGTCATCTACACTTCCAGTGCAGTGTATCTACTTTTGTCTGAATAACACTAGAATCATGACTAGCAGAGTTATAGCTAATGACTTCATCAAGTTGATTTTAATGCTTATTATGATCTGACCATTATTGTTTGACTTACCAAAGATGCAAGTACAGGCAGCAAAATAGTGGCGGTTGCAGTGTTAGATGTGAACTCGGTGAGGAAGGTAAGCAGGATTGATATGACCAAGGCTATGACGAAATTTGGCACTGAGTTCAATGCTGTTAGCTGACATCCAAGCCACATCGAAAGTCCAGATTTCTAAAGGAAAAGAACAACGCTCGTCATAATGCAATTAAGGCCACGATATAGCAAAATGCAAGCAACCGTCGATGTTTGTTGTCAGATACAAGCAGCTGTAAATGTCCGTAGAGTAAGAAGATATTTGCATTGATTGAAGAACAACTTGCATTCAGCTAGATCAAAAAATTTGTTTAGCTCACAAAATATTTGAGAAGAGGAGAATTAAAGATTCGAAATACTGCTCGTAGTTGAAATAATCTTGATCAAAGAAAATAATACAATAACACGGGACAATGGAAATGTTTTGGAAAATAAACACAAAAATGAGAAATGACAGGCACTCACTTCACAAGCTCTTGCAAGAGCGAAACCGCTTCCGAGTAAAAGCGTTACATTCCATGGAAACTTGAGTTGGGTTGCTTTCCATTCAAGAATAGTTTTATGGGGCCCTATCAAAAGAAGTAAACTTTAGTGGAAAATCAAAGCCAGAAATTTGCTGTCATAGGGTCAATGAAAACTTTGCCGTAGAGTCGGCCAGTGAAAAGAAAAGAAACTTAGGTACCGTACCAAAACTTTGCTTCTTTCGTTGTTTTCAGAGAAAGGATTTTAGACCTTAAGGGCATGATCGGGTCTTATCTACGACGAGGGTTATACATTGAAAAATATTTTCTTTTTAAAATTGAAGATCATATTCAGCGGTAGCATGTAGCAAAAGGAGGTAGCTACCAAAATCAATGTATAATATAACTTACTCTTTCTACGTGGCCCTCCAAACATTTCTGGTCGCTCTGCTGGGAAAACAAACATCGAGAAGCAGATGATAACTGCTGCTGTTGAATCACTGACATAACTTTTCTTCCTGCAAATAATATAAAGAAAAGTTCATAGATATAACAAGGTAAAGTAAAGAAAATGTCAAAAAACGTCTTCTTTGGTTCTCGTCCTTAGACCCAACTATCTCTCTCTCCTTTTCCCTGCATTCTTTGCCTGGCTCAGCTTAGAAAAGTCATTATTTCTTATCATTTTCACTATTTTCAAGATTCAGTCTCGAGTTCTCACATCATTTGAACTTTCAAGGTTGGCTGGTCTTCGTGTAAACCATCATCCCTGTATAGTCACTCCATCATTTCTCTGCCACCCTATCCCCCCAACATTCAACGTCTTTAGCAGTAGAGGTACCAATGTCAAGTGTGCCTTAGCAGTAGTGGTACCAACAGTGATCTGGGAGATGCAGAATAAATCAATACCATCCATTCCAAGTCGTAGGAAAAAACTTGTAAAGGTATTCAGGAATAAACTGTATAAATACAAACCCCATTGGAAAAAGCGATCCCCAGCCTGGAATGAACTTTGGGTCACGAAGCATCCAACAGAGGACCAAAGCAAGAAAATGGAACAAAACGACGAATTCAGCAAATCTGCGTGAGTAAAATGACACAATAACTTGAAAGCAGGCCCATTCAAATAAACGATTATCTGAGACTAGACTAGAAGAAGCGGTATCATATATTGGAGGTGAATTTATGGACAGACCTTGAAAAATAGGAGTTACAGCAGTTTTATTACTTACTTTTCAATTCAAATAACAAATCCAAAGTAAGTTGAACACTGCTCAAACATTTGCTTTCTTCTAGTATCCTTCTGCGTGTACTAGAATACTGGTTTCCACCACCTATGTCTGATCAAAACTACTTCCCATGTCACAGTCTACTTTATTAAAAAATTTGAGTTTTATAAAAAATCGCTACATTGAAATTTTTTCTTCAATTGCCTTAGGTCTCAACTTACGTCACCGGGCCTAGCTCTGCATATTGCTTTTCCATCAATGAATACACTTCTTTGCCCTTTGATTTATTTCGCTTTTTCCAACGAAAGCAACAGCATAAATGTTTCCAACTGAGAAAGAATTTACAATTATTACCATCATTTCAACTTTATTTTCATTGCACACATAGACGTAGGAAGTATTTCACAAGGGGGAGGGGACACGTGCAGACACAAAAGGGGTGCTACCTGTGAGCTAACAATAGGTACTTTTCTACTATTTCTGATAGTGACGGCATGTGCCCCTGCACCCACAGCTCCTACCTCTTTCAAACCTACAGTCCCCCGATTTCAAACATTTCAAAAGGTTTAAATAGCATAAATTATGAATAACAGGTACTACAGACATGCTAACTTAGCTTTCCAAGGTACTTGATAAATATTATGTCTGGAATACAATCATTCAAACCATGCTACAAGAATTTCTGCTTTTAACCTTGTGTGCAACAGCTATACACGTAAAGTTCGTGTACTAGTTAATGAGTATGTCCATGGTGTTAATGAAACACATCATATACTCTTTAGTCAAATCAAACAATGATCCCAAAAATTAATAGTAAATCGAAAAACGTAATTAGGAATAAGCTGGATTACAATGTTAGTTACAGTTTTGCTTTGCATGCCTACCTTATACCAAAGAAGATAGCTTGCAAATAGATCCATGCAACTATCAGAAAAATGAGCATTTCAGGAAATGCATAAATGAACCATGACAAGAATGATATGCCAGGCCCAGATTTGAAGACACTGAAAAAAGATAATTGGACATTACGATCATTTGTTTTAAAATGTTGTCTGGAAAGGAATGCCTTAAAAAGAAACTGTTCAACCATTGTTAAAATGTATGTGCACAGCAATCTCCGGGCTGTTTGGGGGGGGGGGGTCGTGGTCGTTTATCATCGCTGGCTACACCAAACATGAACAAAGTATACCAGAATCAGGTAGCAGCTTCTTATTGAATACACAAGGATTCTCAGATTATCCATAAATGAAACACCCAATAACATAACAAGCTGTGATCATCAAAAAGAATGTTAGATCTAAAATATGTAAATAAATGTTATCAGTAACAGGCTTCTTACTCAGTTAACTGTCCAGCTAAAACAAGTTGTGGTGCAGTTCCAGTCAATGTACCAGTGCCACCAATATTGGCTGAATAGCAAATTGACAGCATCATTGCCTTACACAGCAGCTTGTATTTTCTAGTCTGCTCATCCTCTGGCTTTAAAAGTCAATTGAAATGAACATGATTTGCGGTGGCTTCTCGTAATTATTTTGAAAAACAAAAATCCATCATTATTTAATTTATAAAAGTCAAAGTTTGCTCAAAGATGTTTACACAATTTCTTTATTTTGTTTTCCTTTATACAAGTCAGTACTCTTACAGGTAAAATTCTTGTCCAAGATTTTCTATTGAAGTCTAATGAATTCTACTGTTTGTCTCTATTCGTTTCAATTAAAGATCCTAGTCTCAAAATTTTTAACAAAGAAAACAGTGTGTCTGAATGTGATCAGCAGAAATGAAGCATAATTTTTAATGTCATGTTTACTGTACAAATATAGTAATAAAAATTACACAGCATGCAACCATCCAGTTGCATCTAACAAATAAATTTCCCTTACTTTCTCGGAGTCATCATCAACACTAACTGTGACATCATTTTCATCCCTACAGAAAATAAGAAGAAGGAAATTCTGAGACCCCTTGATTCCGTAACTTGCTCAAAGGATTATCAACCACAAAATGAAAATAAATTAAATCAAAATGATCTACAAGGAAAGCAAATATTCCTTTCTATCTCATTTCAAATTGTTTATTCTCATTTAGCCTTAGAAGGAAACCCTTTTCTTTACACAGATTTCGCATTAGTTCTGCCATTCAAAAAAGGCAATATCTAGAACATGCATATATAGAAAAATTCAAAAAAACTTTTGGAATTAAAATAGAGTCATATTTCTGTATAATGGGGAGTTATGTTCACTATTAGACAATTAGAAACAGAAAAGATTTTTTTTCGAACAACAGATTGAGTAAATAGTTCAAAATTTTAATTTACTTTTTTAGTAATTTTCTCCTACTGGTGTTTCTTGGATGAATTGGGGCTGCTAGCTCTACCATTTCTTGCCCATCATCTGTCTGAGAATTTACAATTTCACTGTTGTCTTGGCTCTTCTGTTCATCAGTGTTACTATTATTTGCCCCATTTTCCTCACCTACAGTTACAGTTTGCTCATCTTCTTCACATTCACAGTCTTTCTTTGGCATGTATTCTTTGTCTAATTGCTTCAATACAGCTTCCATGATAGGTGTCATCATTGCTGTTGTTGCAGTGTTTGTTATCCACATAGAAATGAACGCAGTAACCAGCATGAAGCCTAACATAAGCCTAAAATTGTGAAAATGAGAGTTGCAAACCATTTTCAAAATTGTGATGAAACCTGCTACATCAAGACACAGGAAATTTAAGTAAGCTGACTTAATCAGATCTTAGTGAAAAAGGCATTTGATTCCACAGCGAATGTCTAGGAGTACTTTAGGTACTTAGAATTTGAACTACAATATCACTTAGGACCTTTTCTGGGCAGTGAAAGGGTTTTTAAAAAGGTATGGAACAACATTTTGTGATCATCTGGCATTATGGGATCATCCAGCTTTTGCGATCATCCTGGAATGACCTTCGTTGTGTACATAAAGTTTATAAACCAAGCACATTTATACTGGGTATTTAATCTTTCTTAGAGTACAATAAAGGTCATCGTAACAGGTCTCTTTCATTTGATGTTACCTCAAACAAAAGGGTAATAAGAACAGTTTTTAACACCTTATAACAGGAACAATTTTTTCATTATCAGAGCGATCACACAAGAGAAATAATGCGAGTGACGGGCCATTTTTCTTACAAAAAGGCCCGACTAGCCTTGCAACCTTGAACCATAAGGGCAATCTGCCACCCTGGTGAATATGTCTTCAGGAAAAGGCCTGCTAACACATCATTTTACTCGAAAATAAAAATTGTCCTATATCCATAAAACTGAAAGATATTTGTGATAAAGTAACAAATAATTATATAACTTAGCTACTAAAATTGCTCCCAATCATTCATACCAATAAAAAAGATCAAAAGTTGTTAAATCTAAAGTTGTCCATCACTATTGTACATCTAAAGAATCAACAGCGAAGCATCATAAATATATATATATAGTTATAAATTTGCAGTATTTTTTGAATTAGGTGTTACTCTAGCAAATTTTACCTTGTGTGGTTTTTGTTGAAGACTAGCTAAATCTGGCATTATTCTATAGAAACTTCAATTGAATGATAAAGAAATTTTGGCAAGGCATTTCAAGAGGTCTTACCTCCTTGGCTGTGCACCAACCAATAACAGCACCTTCAATGCAATCCTTTTATGTACATTCCATCTCTCTATGGCAACTGCCATTATTAACCCACCAAGGACTAGGACATTGGTGTCTTTGAAGTAAGGTGGTGCAACTTCTTTTGCAGGCATCACACTCAAAACAGGGAATAAAAACAAGGGCAATAGAGCAGTTACTGCCAAGTCGGTGACCTCTGTGCACCAATATGTTCCCATAATCAATATTGCATATCCAGTTCTGGCTTCCTGCAAAATCAAGATTTTTGTCCTAAAGACACAGAAAATACTTTATGGAAAAATATTTTCCTTAAGGTGCACACAAGGGTATGTTTCTTTTTTCACTTCATAATTTGAAATTAAGCAAAATGGTAATATTGTGGGAAAATTCTCTTTATATCACATGCTTCATAAAAAAGATTTCCAAATTTAGCATATCTGGCTAAATCTCTTATGCATGAGTCATCAGATCAAAATATAATTTTATCCCATCAAACAAATGAAATGAAAATTGGCAATTTTTGTTCCAAAGTGAGCTAAATACTTTGAACAGGAAAATTCTGGCTGACTGTAAGTACTAAGCCTTTCCTTCAATCCAAATATTTACCCTAACTTTATACTGGTCGAAACCTAAAATACATATGCAAATAATTTATATTCTTACAATTTACATATGCAAAATTTGCAATACACTCTTTTTTTTATAAGAACAATTTTATAAGAACACAAGCCTCAAAATGGGTCAAAAGTTAAGAACAAATTAAGAACAAGCTGAGGCTGAGCTTCTACAAAATGCAATTTTAAACAACGTTTTTTCTCAAAATCGAGGATTTTTAGCAATGTGTGGGTGCTTTTTCGTCGAATATTCAAACTTTTCGGCAACTGAAGGTTGTCTCACTCACTTTGTTGCCAAATGAGGCTGAACACCTCCCTAGAGTGAAAAAGCTAGCACTGGCACTGCTTACACCTTATTAGATTAAGAACAAATTAAGAACAATCCAGCCTCAGATTTTCGAAAAAATTTAGAACAGTCAGCCTGAACTCAAATTTACTGGTTTTTATAAAAAAAAGAGTGTATTGCATGCAAGCTTGGCCATTTAAGGAGAGTCATAGCCCTTGCTCCCCTCCAGGCACTCTTTGAAGGTTGGTGGGGGGTAGCTACAGATTGATCGTAACTTGAATTTTTTAAAAAGCACATTGGTCTTCTTCAAATCAATTTTCCTTTGTTTCTATGCTACCTTCGAATAGCTCACATGGAAATTACTAGGAGAGCAGTTTACTGTTCCCTGTTTAAGTTCTCCTGACCACGCCTGTGGATGTTAGAGGAGTTTCTGAATCAATGATTTTCTGTTTGAACATTTTACATCGATGTTGACACTTTAAGCAGCTAAATATAAAAAAGCTGTGTCTTATTTGACAAACATAGCTGCCCAAATCATTTAGATAATCCGCGAAAAGCTCGTTAAAAATGCGTGTGGATTTCCTGTTACTTGCAGCATTTTGTGTTTTCGTAGCGTTGATCGCTGAAAGGAAAATGCCGGTGAATGAAGTCTGTAACAGGAAAAGAAATGTTGAATACGAGGATAAATATCGCGCGGGCACTTTCTGCACGAACAGTATTTGCCTCAATATACAAGCATCGATTGCATCTCGAAATCTGGACTCCGAGTAACGGATGGACGCTTCTAAACAAGAGCTTCCATTCACAAAATTGAGGAACGACTTTGTGAATGGAAAGACCAGAGATATCACCATCACCTTTCACCTTTGCCTCCTTTTAACGGACGATGCGATTTGTTCTGCCAGAAATGTATTTTGCATGTTATGGTTGTGTGTTTTGTACGGTCTAGCTGTACTAAGCTTGCCCGAACACTTAATCAATCTAACTCCGTTCTTAGCTGGCATTTTTATAGGGTTTAGGCCCGTTTTAAAAAGTGTAGTTGGAAATCCGATAGCTGGATTGTGAGCTAATATTTGGAATCTGATAAGAGATAATTGCATAAATAAAGCAAAATCGGCAATCATAGCCTACCTTTGTTTGGACTACTAATGGCAAGGGGCTGAGAATCAATGGTGTCAGGAAAATAATCATAAATCTTTTCCATTCCTTTAGTCGTCTCAAGAATCCCATGACACTGGAGCAAGAAACAGCCATGTTGGAGTAAAGATATCTTCAGTCAGATTATCGCGCAAGGAACTCTCTAGAGAGAACCGTTTACACCGTTTAAAAACAGCTGCTACGTCAATATATCGCCACGCTTCCAACCATTTCTCTGTCAGTTATGATTTCATGCAGCAACCAGATTTGCCGACTTTCATGCATGACTGCACGTTTTGAAAAATTGATAATGGCCCTGCGATTTTCTAATGTGTTTTTTATCACGTAGAACCCGCACAAAGATCGCGTTACGCGCAATAGAAGTGAAGCGAGAAGGGCTTAATTAACACTGCAGGAGCACTGTTTCGAGTTATTGAAATAGATAAAACCGGGAACAAAGGAATCATGGATCTGGGAATATTAAGCACAATCTTCTCGGGTATTTTTTTAATTTTTCATGCTCATTAGCGCGTTCTACGGATCGGGACTTCTTGAAAATGTTTTCAAAAGCTTTAATTTGCTTTCATCTTCAATTGTCACCTGTCTTTTACTTTGTTTGCAATGTTGAGATTATTCTACCAAAATGATGAATATTGTCTTTGCGAAAACTATCTTTCCGTTGAATTTTCATGGTTTTCAACTTTTGCTTCTTGGGCCAAATCAATTTTCGACATCGAATGGTTTTGAGAAATAGCCAAAATGGATGAATTTTTCTGTTTTGACGGCAACTTTTAAAGGTCTAGTTTATTCAACTGGGCTTGCAAACAACATCGGAAACTAAAGCTAGACTAGAAATAGCTCTTGCTAGTACTGCCCGCAAACAATTAGTTCCTTGATAATGATTGTTTTGAAAATGTAGGTCAGGATATTCGAAGAAGACACCATCTTGGGTTTTCACAATTCTATAAAAACAGCTGCTCTAGTTGATGCTAAACTATTCTTTTTATCAAGAATTTTTGGTGTTCAGTTTGCCTTTGATTTAAGTCCAACGCCCTTTTGAAAATCATGAAGTTTTTCGAGGGTTTGACATTTATTTTTCGATAATCACGATAATCATAACTTTTGCTCGTACGGTCCCGAGTTTTTGGGAGAAAAGTGTGGCATTCGACTGGTTTTGATTCCCAAAACTTCGAATCAAAACTTCCATCCATTGCGGAGAACAGAGCTGTGATGCAGCACCGTTTTCGTGCCAAAAAAACCGAAGGCCTTTAACAAAGTCTTGGCAGAGCAACGCTCCGAAGATAATTCCCTTCAGCACAAAGAGGTGGCGGTTAACGACCTCCTCGACAAAGCCGATTGATTGACAATGAAATTGATTGACAGTTGTCATGGCAGCAGAAAAGTGACAAAATCTGCTGAAAAAGTGCTGACAACATGAACTGAAGCTTCCATATGCTACTTATACGCGGGGCAGACTATAAGCCCTTCACTCGCGCGCTATCGCGCGCGAGTTGCGGGCAATAAACACCTCATGAACCCAAGAAGCATAAAGTTATCCAGATCGTTAACGGGTGAGTAGCATAGGACTCAACAAACAACCCTGCCTTACAGCTTTTAAATCACTTCTTTGATCCAACATAAACATGCGCGAGTTCTAGATAACAAGCAGACTTAGGGCCTTGGTTAGAAGAACTCAAACGAAGACACGTCTCGTCTACAGCTTTCGTCGAGGAACAACGAAAAGTGGGAAGTCCAATACTCTTATCTTGCACTTCATACCACCTTGACACCTTAGCGTGTCAAGTTCCCCCACCACTATTCTGGCGGTATTGTTTTTGGATTGTCGAATAAACCACAAATTATGTTTCTGCTCTCTTTGAAGTCCATGTTAGCAAGAAAACGAAATGCCTTTACTTTTAACCTCTAAAAGAAAGAAATTATCAGCAGAGTATGATAATGTTGACTCATGACTAGTACTTAGGTTTCTAATGGGTCTTGGGCTTCGCAGTCTCGTCCATATGCCAGACTACAGCAAGTGGATTTTGCGATTTTTACGGCAGATAGCGGTCTTAAATTATCAAGTTGCGTCCCTCTTTAAAATGAAATTTCGAGCGGTTTCGATAGTGCGGCTATTGATTCGATAATTATAAGGACGGTGATTCATAGATTGAAGTTACCGCACAAGTCTGTCAACAGTTATTTTTTGTTAAGAGAATCTTAACAAATAACGCCGCGATTCTTGATCTCAATTTAAGATTAGCATTTGATTGCGGTTTTTATTCCTTTTCAAGACTGTGGGACTTTTGACATCTTCAAGGTCACTGTGGAGGGGGTAGAGAGGACTTCCAACAAAAGAGAACATAAGAAATCTTATTTAATGACAACAAAACCAAAATGACAATTCATTCCAAAAATGAGAAAAATATACAAGCACCAAGAGTCCCGTAAAGACTTTAAAAAAGATTTAAAAACAAAATAGATAGGAGAAAAACCCCGTATTATAAAACTGCAGGGCTTGCCAATTCGAATTCAATAAATGAAAATACGTACGAATGATTGATTTATGTATCATTGAGAAAAATGTATCTTGGCAAGCTTCTTTCTTAATTCACATATATTCAAAGCCATATTGTTACATTTTTACGATATTGGCGGCTTATGTCGACTTCAGTGACAATCACCTTTGCGATACAATAAAAAGGAATTAAAACTGACTATACCTTGAACTATACTCTACGTTCACCTGTTTTAAGTCGTTCTGTTTGCTTTTGCTAGATTCTGAGAATGTCATCCGAACCCAGCTCTTTTAGGCTATAGTTTCTATACCCAGGGTATACACTCTCTTTAAGAATAATTTTATAAGAACACAAGCCTCAAAATTGGTCAAAAGTTAAGAATAAATTAAGAACAAACAGAGACTGAGCTATTGTAAAATGCAATTTTGAACAATTTTTTAACTCATAAATGAAGATTTCATAAATGAAGGCCATGTGTGGGTGCTTCTTCGGTGAATATTCAAACTTGGCGGCAAATGAAGGTTGTCTCTTTGTTAGCAAATGAGGCCAAAACACCTCCCTAGAGATAAAAAGCCAGCAATCGCACTGCTTACGCCCTGTTAAATCAAGAACATATCAAGAACAATCCAGTGTCTGAGAAAATTAAGAACAGTCAGCCTGAACTTGAATTTGTTCTTATAAAAAAGAATGTAAAACTATCATTCAATAATAACATAGATTTTCAGAAAGAGGTTTTTATATTGAGATAAGAGTTTTCCAAAGATAGGGGAATCCTTGTGCAAAAATAAAAAAACACATCTTCCTGGAAATGCTTCCTGGAAAGTATAAATAAAACGTTTTTAAAAGAAACTGAACCGAGGGATTTCAAGTCTAAAAGCTACTTTGAAATTTTCAGGGGAAGAAAAACCGGAAATGAATTATTAATATTTTTTTAGATAGAATTGAAATTGATCCTATAATATTTATTGGATCCAGAAACTTACTTTTTATTTCCTTTCTTAAGCAAAAATCTACTCTGGCTACTAGAACATATCAAATAAAAATATTTCTGTGACCATTTTATAACTATTTTTTCTGAGACTAAATAGTGGAAACTCTGGCACCCAGGCAAAAAATCTAGCAAAAAATCGTAAGATGACAAGCTTCAGATTTGAAAGATTCAGAAACTTTGACGAAAAAAAACTTTTCTCCTTAGAGTTATGAAAATTGTAAGAATTTTCAGATTGAACTGGAATCAGAAAAATGTTTCCAGTCTAAACAGTACTTTCAATTATTTAGGGAAAGACACAATACCATAGTTTGGCTTACAAATCTCAGACATAAATTCGACATGAGGCTTTGGACAATCCAGAAATTTGGAAGAAATCCTTCTATTCAAATAAAGTCAAGATTGTCCCCGATCACATCGGTCAAAGAGAATTCAACCTAGAAAAAAATTTCAACAGAAAAGTTCTTCCATTTTGAAAAAGTATGAGACTATAGGATTAGAAAAATTCCATAATTTTGATGGAAAAACTTTTCTCACTAATAGTATAATAATTGTCTATGACTGACCATGAACCTCTGTTTCGCTACAGGCACACTTGATGGGCGCTTCAACCGAGCAGTAGAGGGGTGTATTATAAATTTTTTATACACTTGAAATTGTCTCAGGAAATATAGCAAGAAGAAAAAGCTCGTTGGAAAGTTCGAGCGTCGCACTGTAATAACCACGCCAGAGAGTTGCAACTCCCGAAGAAGAAGTAAAAAGTTCCATACATATACGAGGAAAGTTGATCTTTATTTGTGAAAAAAGGGTTGTGCAAATATGTAAATCAGGGGTGTGAGCTTGGCAATTTTCGAGAAGAAATCGAGAATGAACAATAAATAGAAGTTGCAAGTTTTCGAGTCCTTTAGATTAATAGTCTCTGTTGCTGTGTCCATAAAATGAGGCTGTAGCAAAGCAGAAGCTCATAGAGTAAGTCCTGAATTCTGCTACCCTGGGTAATAGACTCACTATATAAAAACATTTTATAAAATAAAAAAAATAAAATAAAAATAAAATAAAAAATAACAAAATAGCAATTCAGCTATATGAAAAAAAAGCAATTCAGCTAATTGCGGGATTTTCAACTAAATGTCTTTAACGATGATAATTGAAGGACATTTTTTGGCTTTTCCATCGTACATTTACATACAATGATAGTTTTGCTTCTCTTTGATTTCCAAACAGAGCTCTCTAATAAGAGTTCTTATAAGAGTTACAAATGACTTTCATTTCAAAACTAAGTCACAATCCTCTGCTTTAGGCATGAAAGTAAGCAACCTCAGAGGTTTTGCGAGGAACGATATAAAGTAAGTTTATAGCCTTACTTTTGGATCAAGATCTGACCAGTAAGAATTTAGTCTTTTTTCAAATATAATAATTTCCATTTCAGGACTCAGAAAATACTCTTCGCTATTATGATAAAAAGCAAGCAAATGAAGTGGTTTTGGAAAGAAAAGTTTTCAAAATAAATTGAGCATTTTTCTTAACTTATAGCCATATTTTTGATCAAAATCTGCCCAATAGATAAAGTGGGGTTTCTTCGAATAAAATGGCTTATTTTAAAAACTTACTCCTAATCATGTTTAT